AAATGACCCACTGTCGTTGGTGAGTCAAAGATAATTAACGTCTCACGTTACATTTTTATTAAATTCAATGCACGATATTATCCAGTCCAGAAAAATGAAAGAATCCGTTTAATTTATGAATATATATCATGCATATGTTCATCTACACCTGTCTTGAGGGGTCCTGGAGGACGCCCCTCACGTCACAAAGACTGCAGCAACAGATGCCTCCCATGCCGTCCACCTGAACGTTGGTCCTGTGCTGGACGGCCTCCACTCCGCCCACCTGAACTTTGGCCTCCCATCGGACGGCCTCCCAGCTGCCCACCTGACCTGCTCTGGCCCGTCGGACGGCCTCCTGGCATGCTCTGAGCCAGTGGATGGTCTCCCGGCCGTCTGGACATTGTTGTGTTTCCCTACTTAGTTTAGTCCCTGGGCCTTGTCCTGTCGGTTTTGTTTTGGTCCTTGTGTGTCTTTGTTCGGGCCCGCCACCCTTGCAGTTACTCCCTCCGCCCAGCCTAGTTTTCTGGGAGGGGGTTTCTTGGGGACGCCGGGGGGGGGGGGGGGGGGGGGGGGGGATACTGTAGGAATGGCGCCATCTAGTGGGCCTTCCCCTGTCTGTTCTCCCTTGTGTCTCTGTATTGATTGTCTGATTATCGTCACCTGTGTCATGTCCTGTTTGTGTATATAAAGTCTGTCTGTTAGTTCTGTCGTTGTCAGTTCGTCGTTAGGTATTGCCTGTCCTGTCCTGCCTGTCTGATCCTGTTTAATCCTGTTCCTGAATCTGTTTTTGTAAGTTTTTGCTGCCATGTCAGCCTTTTGATTCATTATTATTATAATTATTAAAAGTATTTTATTTTATACGTCTGCCTCCTGAGTCCTGCCTGCGCAACTGGGTTCTCCTGTCCTGATCTGCCTTGAAAACCCTGACAGCGGGGGTGTCTGGAACGTAACCCTTGTGATAAGTGAGGGTCTACTGTATTACTGGTAGTTCTAAAGCAAATCATATATACCAGAACCTCTTACAATGCTGTGATTGCTAGTATCACTCAGCCCTCTGTGAACAGTAAACAGCCATCAGTGTGCTAATGATCCATAGTTAGGCTGATGGTCCTTCTTGAGCATATGATCAGCTGGTTTTGGTTGTCAGCAGCAAAACTGGTTGATCCACTCTGAGACGGCGCTATTTAAGAGACTGAGCTGAATACAGCTCCTCAGACTGAGGAAGTCTCTCGGATGAGAGACGAAACGTTTCTACATTTTTTTGTTGATTTGCTTTGTTTTGTTTTTTTTGTTGTTTTTTTTTTTTTAATGTCCAGAGGACCAGATTTAACTTTTTTAGATTTTTCTACCTGGATTATTGAGCATGCATCAGAATAAAAACAAAGGTAAAGTGAAGAGACAAAACCTTTTTTTCCCTTCCTTACATTAATCAATTAAACAAATATCTATAACTATTAGCAGTTATTATATGTTTTAGTTTTCTAATGTCACCTCCACTGGCCGAAAAAGTCCCCTCCAACAAACTTGAAACGGGCCATGGGCCACCAGTTGATAAACACAGCTGTGGCAGTCTTTTGGCTCCTTGTCTAACTCAAAGTGTCTGATTGTTAATGTTTTAAGAAAACACAGAGGCTGTGCTCCAGTTTAGGTGTAGTAAAGAAATAAAACATACCAGTTAGACGCCATGTCTGTGATCATGACCGCCCGAGGAATCCACATCCCAAAACAGGCCATGGTGCTGATCGCCTAACACAAAGAAATGCTAAAATCATGCACCATACAGTTAAAGTGGAGTTCTGTAATTGATAACTCTTTGAATGGCCTCACATTTGAGCAAAATAATTTTAACTTGGACCAGATGGTCGAGATAACAACCGTCCAAGCAGAATTGAGACTGCTGCCATCTAAAACAAGTCAAATTAATTTTAATCTGAATGTTTATTATAAACCTTTACAGCATCGTCCATTTTACATTATATAGTATTTGACATAGAGTTTGTCTTTTATAAGCACGATTAGCAACAGCAGCAGCTAGTTGTTGCCCTTGTGGTGCCGTTTGAGGCACTTCCAGCTGCAGTATTTACACATTTCTGCAACAATAACCCTGCAATGCAAAACTGACAGAGGTGTACATGTTTATGAACTGCTGTGAAGGATTTGAGCTTGGCTGTTAAGATGATTCACTTTAGTCTAGTTCCCACTCATATTAGCAGTCAGCTCAACAATTTAGTCTGAATTTAATCATTTCTACAAAGTGAGGGCTTTCAAAAAGCTGTCTACAACAGGTAAGATGTTTATTTTTCATATTCCCACCAAAACCACTTCAAATAATCAGATGTGTCCATTTAATATTGATTTTATAAATCTGAAATATTTGATGTTGTGGTTCTACGGGCCTTGTACCCCTGAATGCTTACTGGTGCAGCACCACTTATCCAAATGAGGGTGGTCTTCTTGGGATACGGCATCTTTTTATAAATAAACCAACACTGCTCCAGGTATAGCAGCAGGGTCAGGCAGCACATTGATGTGAGCATGGCGTAGAGGCATATTCCAAACACGTCAAGTTCTGATAATTTGGATAAAGACAAGAAACAAACAAGGAGGTTGGACATTGCACACTGTGGAGAAGACGGCAAACTGAAACATACAGCAGGCAGAGAGAGGGCAACGTTCAGGTCATTAGTTCCTGTTGATTGATAAGAAAACATTTCCAGCAATAAGGATAATGTGGGTCACCTACGTTTTATCAAGTCCAGAGCCAGAGGAGGTTCCTGCAAACAAGCTGGGTCGATAGTGCTGTTGAGGGATTCCTCCATGATGAGCAGATCTTCCATTTGAAACGGTTCCTATAGTTTCTAAAAATAATCAGTGAGTTGGGATTGCAGGATCCTTCCTGTTCACTTGTCCAGCAGATTGTGCTGACAAACAGAGCTGCACTTTAGACTTAAAGTGTCAGTGATGGAATGAAGGTTGGGTGGCAGTTGACCGGCTTCAGTGACGCCTGCTTATTCATTCACAGACATAAATCTTAGAAGGAATTTAAAGGGTGAGACACAAAGAGCGTAAAAAAGGGAGTTGGACTTAAGCAGGGTGGGACAATTCTTTTCCTGAAAATATTAAAAGGTGTAAAAAGTTCTTAAAGGGATCTCTGACTACCTGCACATATCGGCCTTAATATGTTGTTTTTCTCTGTTCTACTAAAAGTTGTTGTTTGTGACTTATAAAAACTCATGATCACTAAAAGAATTATAGACGTTTGTTACATTTTTCACTAAAGGATGTTCAATTGTTTTACAGGCAAGATGCATTCTGGGACAATGACGTACATCGGTTTTAGTGGAGACAAAAACTGAAGGAGTCGAGGCTAAAAAGTTACAACATGTAGTAATAAAATTATATTTTGTATTAGTCTTTATGAACAAACTATGGTCAAAACATTCAAACATGATCAACTTGTCAAGTTTAATTTATTGGCACCGAAGCTATATATTAGATATGGATGGAGAT